CTGAGCCTAAGTATACTTAGACTGGAAATTGGAGAAGTTATCTTTTTCCGATTCTCTAGCGAGAGACGGCGAGTACAGGAGATGTTGCAGATTTACAAAGATTATCTAATCATAGTGAGTGAGTAAGGTTTCGAGCCGCCTTTAGCAATATTCCAGCAATATCACGGCGGGGGACACCAGAAATGGGCTTCACACATTGTACCCAATGTGGGGAGTCGAACCCGGGTCTTCAGCGTGACGAGCGGACGCTTTAACCATTAGGCTACCCCACAACCCTATGTAATCATACTTTAGCGAGATCAGATTTATATTTTCTACAACATGTAAATGCATTCCTGTCAACAATAAATTGTGCGGCGATAATCAGTGTGATTCGTTCTTAACTGCCTTAGGGCTCTGCGCGCTGTTTGTTTTGTTTTTATGCATTCTGGATTTGTTGACTAACGTTTCCTGATATTTCTATTTGAATAAAATCTGTTTTATCATACAATCCGCGGAATCTATTAAAATATCTACTAAGTAATCAGGACATCAATAGCAAAATTCACGTTCACTTCGCTTAAGCTCTCACCATAGGTCAACAATCGTTCTTGTGAATTATGAATATATGTTTCAGAAAGAATCATTCCAAATGATCTTTGCATCAAACAGATTACCAGTGTCACTCACTGTCGAGTCAGCAAATGTACAAGTTAACTCCAGTTGAAAATGGTCAGAATTCAACATGTCTCCTGCATTTACACTTGTGCCTTGATGACCACAGTAGGTAAATTCCTCTTCGCTATGCCCAGTTTACTCTCCCATACTATAAATAGGTCAAACACGTAGCAAAAATCAATCAGGTACTGTCCAAACTTATTTGTAACTTTGTCATGAGATTTACGATCATTAAGTATGGTATCATCTTCCTCTGGCCAAGGTAAATGAATATTATCATTTTCATCATAATCGTCTTGAATTTTGATGATTCATTTCCCCCCATCGAGAATTCATATCGCCACAAATTATAGTGTGAGAGTCCTGAATAATTAATGATTTGTCTAAAATTTATCCTTCTAAATATTCTAAACTACACGTAGTATTGGAACCACCGTAGTAAGAAGAGCCAGATGGTGGAATATAGGTACATGTGACAAGTGTCAACATTATACGTTATCTTGTGTGGATGGAATCAGTTTTCAGAATTTACTGTAAGATTGTTGTATGCATACAAAAACACAACCACATAGACGACCGTAGTCGGATACTTTAATGACAGGACTTTGGAAATGTCATAGTTTACTGACCAGTTAATCGGGATAGACACGAGAAAAGTTTCAACAAGACATATTACCTTAAATTTACGAAGGTATTGACTGAAGTTAAAATCTCTTATTTTACTTAACAATCCATTCACATTCAAGCATAAGAAAGAAAAAGATTGTTCCTCCACACCGTTCACATGTATTTTAGTTTCGTGGTGCTAACGTTGGCTGTTCCCCCTGGGAAACTATCCCGACTTCAGCCAGTGTCATAGGTAGACGTTTCACGTTCACGTCTCTCGCGTCTGGTACTTGCCACTGTTCGCTTACTTGCTGTTCAACGTTGTGCAGTTGCGTCATTATCCGTGCGTTGCTTGGTTACCAGTTCTTGAAGAATCCGTACTTTCCGGTTCCTTTCAGTTCCTGTAGTTGTCGGCGTTGCCGCGTAGTGAGGTCGCTCGAGATCCCATATCCAGCTTCTTTGAGATCGTTACGTGCTTTAAGCACTCTGACCTTGTCATCCGAAACCTGCAACTTGGCGACCACAGGGCGTGGCCGTTAACGCATCGCACACGTAGACGTGGGCACGTATGACGTCGGTGGACTGCCAGGTCTTAAACGCATAAGTTGGTTGAAAATTGACAGCACTGTTTGTTTTCAGGCCATAGATTTCTCACCTTCTGACTCGGGGATACCATAAACAAGAACATTGTCACGACGACTGATCGATTCAAGGCTATCCAACTCTTCACCAAACTTTGATAATTTTTCGCTCCTTCATCTACCTTATCAGTCATAGCATCGATGTCAGAATATATCAAGTCCTAATGTTGCTTCGAGAGGTGTTGATGGACGATATGACGGTCCTGGCGACGTGTTGTTATACGGGGTCGACCACCACGTGGACGGTCATCAGTGCTTTTGGTGGCGTTGTATTGTTGTCTAAGAAGTTCTATCGTTCGTACCCTGCAATTGAAGTCATTAGTAATGACTCGAGCACGTTGACCAGCTTCTAGACGTCCAATGGCTTGTTGTCGTTGATCTGTCGTTAACCTTGCCATAGCTGCTGTGTTCAGAAAACAAGTGAACGATTGCCATTCAAGTCGGCAATTTTTGCCTGATTGCATGCATGGTGCACGTGCATCTCGATTTCAATGTTGTGTTTGTGCGAACTCTTCCCTTTCCACAAACAAAATCATTGCAAACCTCAATCTCAAACAATACTTTTTGGGCAATAAAGGCTATATAACCACGATTGACTTCCGGTGTATATTTAAAGAAATAGGTTCAAATACTCCATTGATACTTAATCGCATTTCCAATATTACGGCGTTTCTTTTGCCTTTCAGTATATTATATTTATTTCTTAACTGATACAATTCTGGTCTGCTGATGACTTAAATGTGGTCTGTGTTTGTTCTACTTGTGGCCTCACCAATTCCCAGAAGGGAGGAGTAGACGGCAGGCGATAAGGAGATGTAATTTTGATTTCAGTACTACTAGCAGAAAGGAAAGGAATAATTCTGATATCAAGTAGCGGAACAAGAGAAGGTGTTGCTATAACACAGATCCCCATAAATAAGATTACAAGCACAGCTGTATGCAGGGTTGGACTCATTAGAATATAGTTTTATTACATACTGCAAAGTTGATACGAGGATGTTTAAACGATGGCTCGTTGCTTTTTGAAAACAGGGTCCGTCTGTAATGTGAAGGCTCTTCATGATCCCGACCAAGCTTTTGTGCAAGGACTATAATGACATTATGCCACGAAGGAGGAAAAAGCCACGAATCCATATTTGATCAAATATTTCTTACAGGATTTCGAGACATTTTAAGATTTTGGTCCATTTGCACATGCATGGTTGTGGCATAGATACCGATGTTGGACAGAACAAGCATGCAGTAACCAAAAAAAAGAAACAACAAACAAGACCACGCATATGACAAGACGTATCCACGTGCAACGAGACAGGGTGATAGGTATGGTCAATATGAGGGCTTTACAACGTGACCATCAGGAAACTGATAAATGGATATCAGTAAACAGGCGAGACCCAAGACCGCCCCAGATCAGGAAGACCAAGCGTCACGAAGACCCCTTCTTCCGTCTGATCCAGCTCCAGGTTGATGACAGCGACAGCACTAGGACACGCCATCAGTACACGAACATTCTTTTGACGACTTGGTATGGCCTTAACCCGGCTACACCAACACAATCTGCAATGGGCACAAACTGTACGTCAGTGGTAGTGACGTGCCTGGGAGAGAGGGCTCTTAACAGAGGAAAGTCGGTTCTTTCTATTCAGAAACCATGGCAGGGTTCGAGTTTTTCGACGTAGAGGTTTGCGTTCAAGGTGTTCATCCGTTCGCTGGAGTAGACGTCGTGGTATACGGAATTTTTTTTTTACCAGAGAACAACAAGTAATCGTCCGAAGAAATCTGAATGCCCGGCGCTACAGGGTTGAGGTGTTGATACCTTTTGTGGTGGCCTTTATTCGACAACAGCCACAAGGAGACATTGTGCAGCACGACAATGCAAGGTCTCTAAGGAATTGTTGGAGAATACCTGCACAACGTTAACGTCAACGTATTACCTTGGCCAGCGCGTTCTCCGGACATGAACCCCATTGAACATATGTGGGATCATCTTGATTGTCAGCTGAAACAACGTGTACCATCCATAGCGAACCGACAGGAACTTGAACAGACTCTCTCGGATGTTTGGAACAATATTCCTGCTGACGTCATCCGCCGATTGACACGAGGAGAGATGTCTGGGCGTATATAGATGCCCAGGGTGGTCACACTCACTATTGATGAGGTGACTCCTGGCTCATGTCTCATTGTTGACACTTTATGCACTTCTTAAATTAACTCTGATTTGTGTTATCTTTAATTTTCACACCTTGACTATTTCTTAAACAATTGTGGCAAATAAAAGACCTGCATTATAATGAAATGTCAGTCCGATTATTGGAAAATAATTTCTGTTTGTAAGAGTAATATATCATAAATCTCACATGTGTCTTTGTTTGTAATTTTCTGTCAAGTGAAGCCGGTGATCTTTCTTCCCATCCCATTACCGCACTGTTAGCTTCCCATCACATTATGGGATTTTATCTTACCACTCCATTACCGGACTGTTAGCTTCCCATCATATTATGGCATTTTAGCTTCCTATCCCATTACCGGACTGTTAGCTTGAAGTTCCGAACCCATTTTGTGATTTTAGCCTCCGACCCCATTACGGGACTGTTAGCTTTCCATCCCAGTATGGAATTTTAGCTTCCTATTCCATTACTGGACTGTTAGCATCCCATCTCATTCTGGTATTTTAGCTTCCCATCCAATTACCACACTTTTAGCTTCCCATCTCATTATGGTATTTTAGCATCCCATCCCATTCGTGGCTTTTACTTCTCACCACATTATGTAAATGTTTGCTTCCAATCCAATAACGGCCTTCTATCCCATTAAGGGGGCTGTGCGTCACCCACCCCGCTGTATGTGACTGGTTCCAAGCCCTTGCCGTTCGTCTTACTCCAATTGTGCTAAATGCTTCCTTGCTGCCAATCTGTCTCTGTAATGAATCTTCGAGTGAATGAATCCATATGTAATAATGTTATGGCATTTACCCAAACTGTTTCAAGTCCATGAGGCCAAAGTAAATAGGTTCGATTTGATGACTCTACACGAGGATGAACAGTGCACTGTCTTCAGTGTATCTGTACTACGAATGTGACTTCCTGTGATTACCTGTTTTGGAAAACAACCCTACGTAAGCACTGCAGTAGTCGCGTACAATTTGTACTCCATCCAGCCAACCGTCAACCATGAATGCACTGCATCCTGGAAAAGAAAGGCAGAGACTGATAAACATTTACATCTTCCACTTCAGTGTCACAAACACATCCACAAATCAAGAGAAAACAAACAGAGGGTTTTGTTAACGACACCAGTGTACTTGGAAGAATCAACATCATATCGCTTACCCATAACCTGGAAAGGTTTTGCGCATTTTGATCTGATACGCTCCCCTTTTTTCTTTCCTGTAGGTCCATCGGTGAGGTACTCGCACCGGATCCCCTCCAGTTTACAGCATCTAGCCACAGCCCTCATTCGCCTGGGAATATCACCTAACCAGGAACAAGTGACAGTCGATGTTGATTTACGCTGACCAATAAATTCTGATATACCGAGAGAATTAACATGGTAATATCAAATACATTGGCTCAGAAACATGACAGCATCAATTCCGTTTGAACATTCCATGTACTTACCACTTAGTCTTGTTGCGTCTAATAGGCATGTGAGACTATGGTTGGCCACGACTATTTTGACACCATTGTTTCTGCCTCTGGACTGTAATATCAGCATATCAACTTAATAAGAACATCAATATAATAGTCTGTCAAACATTAGTCATGAAGGCCCATCACCTCAGAGTTTGTACATAACTCCTCTGATGATAAGTGTTCCTTAGTTTACATTTCAAGATGGGTGTACGTGCGTCGTACAGTGTTTTGGAAAGAGCAGGCCAGTATTTTGTATTTCAGCGGCATCGAAGGAAATGGGAGTACTAATGAACCTCGTTTGGTACAAACTGAAGGGTGCACTTACGAATGTGAGCTAGTTGTTGAAGCAGCTTCATTATTTACGACTTTGTTGACTAATAGCATCACACAGTGATACGTGCTTTGACGTCACTAGTATTAGATCACTACACGTTACGCCTCAGTCCCGCATCTATATACTGGTTTCGTCTCATTAGACAGACTTTGTTTAAAATATGCTTCTGTTAGTAGTATGTCATAGACACGTAGGTGAAAAGTCTCCCTAGCCAAATCAGCATCTCTTACGAACTGAACGCTTGGCGAAATGAATTATATGAAAAATGGGTAGTACAATGTAGTTATAATTAGTCGAGTACCATGATGCTTAGGTTTAACCTGGTGTATCCGCCCATTTTAATTGTGGTCAACCACGCTCTTTTGTGTAAACGCTATCCTACATGTGTGTGGGGTCACGTGACCAAAATTTCGTATGCTTAACCTCCATCAGCTGAGTCAAATTTGCTGGCGATTAAAAATCCCCACCCAAAACACTTTAGCAATCCGTAAGAGATAAACAATTCTCATGCCACGCCTTACAAATGTTGAACGTGAACGGTGATTTCATGTTAGAAGTTGGCCAGTCTACAGTGCTTGTTGGACGTGCCAGGAGATGCAATAGACGCACAATTTGCAACCTGAGGAGACGTGGGTATCAAACGAATACAACTTCTGATTGCCCCAGGTCTGGACGGCTACGTGTGACGTCTCATGCCTAGGACAGTCAAATTGCGTTATCATGTTACGACGGCAACGGCAATGGCAACGGCAACCAGTAACACACTGTTAAGGGGTCGCGTAACCGCGTATCTTCAAGCCCAACGTCCTTATGTTGGGCCGATTCCGACGCAGACAGACCGTAAGGAACGTCTACGCTGGGCACGATTGCAGCTGCAGATGGTCTAACGTTCCTGCAAAATGCGGGTATTGACTTTCTGGAGTGGCTACAGAAATCACCTGCTCATGATAATAACAATAAGGGTCTGATGATGGGCCTATATATGGAGAAGTATTTGCAATGAACCTGTGGTGGCTGAAAAGGGCCGTCGCTTTCTCGCCTTAAAATTCGGTCGCGAGAAAGTGATATCACGACACGAGAAAGCGACAGCGCGAGACGAGAAAGCAATAGCGCGAGACGAGAAACTTTATGCATTTATTCATTAACCATTCCCACAGGTTCACAAATATGTTGGGTCAAACTTGATCTTCAGCAACCCATGTTGTAAGAGCGAACTAATGTGATCGGGTGGTCGTTCTCACTTACTTGTTTGATGCATGCCATCGTATCCCACTTGTGAAGATCGATGCTCATAGTGTCATGACCATGCTATGTGGAACTCTTTTACTCATATCATTACATATTACTATTTTTATGAACGTTACAGTAGACGCAAGATGTTTATATGAATATTGTCCAGGAATTTCTTTGAGTTGTCCAAAAAAGTAGGCACTTAATGTTTGTATTTAAAACAGTACGTTTCTGTCGTAATAGATCTTCATCAAATATTCCTCTGTTCCTCTGTGATTAAGTTGCAAATAAGTTGCCGTGGACCTTCTTCAACATATCTGTGCATGTAAACGCCAATGTACAGGAAGGTGTAGCTGCAAGTTGAACCTGTTGTGTACTTCGGCATGTGCATGTGGGAAAGGTGTTCCCGGGATGTTGACAATGTTGACATTGAGTATACATGTCAGCTGGGAATACACTAGGACTATTAGTATTAAGAACAATAAATACGAACTGATATGAAGGCAATGTTGCTTGCGTCATTTTGACATGACTGTGTGTATATTTTGTGGTAAGATACCATAACGCATTTCGGATCAGTGTGTTATATCTTTTACAATGTATTAATGATTGCCGGTGTAAAATAAACCAAGAAAACCAAAGCCGCAATAGTTCACATTGTAAACAGAAAAAATGGCACACGATAATGTCACTTGCAAACCTTCCATAAGGATGTCATTTTATTATTCACCAGCTTTAAGGGTTTCCCGGCATGTCAGTGTAATACTGACGCACACCAAAACATATCAGCTGAATTGTTGTTTCTTTCAGAATGTATATACATAAACGCAAATTTGTATGATAGTTCAACAGCATCTTTGACATATTCAGTATTGTTGATACTTTGTAAAGCATGGAACTAAAATTATCTTATATTTTGCTGATCCAAATACAAAGTACCAACCAAGAATACTATTGTATGGTCTTTTGCGATGTATCAAAGGCCTTTGATAGAGTTTGGCAAAGAGGGCTTATGCTTAAATTATAGATGTATGGAGTCAGTGGAAAACTCCTTGATTGGTTTAATAGTTATGTAACTGATCGCAATCAATCGGTCTTTGTTAATGGGTCGCTATCCAAGCCTATGGTGTTGAAAGCAGGAGTTCCCCAGGGATCAGTTTTAGGCCCATTTCTTTTTATTGTGTATGTAAATGAGATAGCTGATAAGCTACATTGCATAACTCGGCTTTTCGCTGACGATACTTCACTGGGAACTTTATCAAAGGACAAACAAGTGATGGAAAGAGCCATGAATGAAATATTAAACGATTGGGCAAAGGCCATGTTAATTTCCTACAATCCGGAAAAATCTGAAGCTATAATATTTACTTTGAAAGATGGCAAAAAAGACATTAATTTGAAGTTTGATAACTGCAATATAAAAACAGTCGATTTTCATAAACATCTGGGTTTAATCTTCACGTCTAACGGGAGTTGGCATCATCATATTGAAAACATTATCAAAAAGACATCTAAAATGATTGGAGCATTTCGGAAATTAAAGTTCTTATTAAAAAGAACAACACTAGCGAAAATATATACCGTATTCATAAGGCCACACTTTGAGTACGCATGCGAGGTATGGGATGGATGCTTAATTGAACAAGCTAATAGATTAGAAAAACTTCAACTTGAAGCAGTGCGCATAGTTACTGGTCTTCGAAGATATGCATCTTCCAGTTCATTGTATTGTGAAACGGGATGGGATTTACTTTCTGAGAGAAGGAGAAGACGCAAATTAACATTATTTTATAAAATTAAAATATGCCTGACACCAGTTTTTCTTCAAGATTTACTCCCACCTCTAGTTAGCAACCAGACAAGTTATCAGTTAAGAAACTCAAATAACTTTAGTCAACCATATACAAGACTGAGGTACTCAACGTCATCTTTTATTCCATCAACAGTTAAAGTGTGGAATAATATTCCCTTAGCTATTAGAAATTGCGACTCTGTTGCCACGTTTAAATTTTATATACACGTGAAGGTAAAATGTGCACCTATATATTATTCATATGGAATAAGGAAGTTCAATGTTATGCACACTAGATTAAGATATATGACGAGTACACTTAATTATGATTTATATAGAATAAATGTATAAAATGACGCATCATGTCAATGTGGCCATAGAAGTGAGAATGTTTTTCATTACTTCCTTGAATGTCCTTTGTATACTTTTCAAAGACATAAACTGTTAAAATCTTTAGAACATATTGTCAAAAATAGAACACTGATTGATATTAATCTTATCTTACAAGGCAATGCAGGTCTCTCAATCACTGACAACCAGAATGTTTTCAAATATGTACATATCTATATCTCTCAAACAAAAAGCTTTCTCAGTTAACATCTGTTGTACATATCCTAGCCTATGTCTGTCACTTGTGTACTTTGTTGTAAGATGAATTGTGTAATTATCTGGAGAGGGCTTTTCTAAGTTGGATAACTTGTGCACAATCCTTTTCTTGAATGAATAAAATATGTTTAAAACAAGGATGTCATATTATTATTCACCAGCTTTAAGGGTTTCCCGGCATGTCAGTGTAATACTGACGCACACCAAAACATATCAGCTGAATTGTTGTTTCTTTCAGAATGTACATAAACGCAAATTTGTATGATAGTTCAACAGCATCTTTGACATATTCAGTATTGTTGATACTTTGTAAAGCATGGAACTAAAATTATCTTATATTTTGCTGATCTAAATACAAAGTACCAACCTCTGTTTCCTTGTAATGGTTGTTCATGAATACAATGCTAACCAAAGGTATATATGATCTTCAGATGATATAGCTGAATCCGAAAAACATAATTGTTTGAAAAAAATACCTTCAAATTGTGAAGTTTCTCATCAAATGCCCTGTCTATTAAAATTGACCTTTGACCTTACCAACTATTTTTGAGCATATATGTAATATAATTCTCCACAATTTTAAATCATGGTCT